AAATAAAAATAAAACATCCCATCCAGTATCAGCACTAGCTGGTGACTGAGCTATCTTATCGATGGGGAGGCATGAACATAATGCTCACAGGCCATTATGGTCGGCAATATGTCAATTTATTATTTAAATCAGTTAACTTTTATACAGTTTAGTTTGCTCAGGGTACATACTCACAATAAGATGATTGGATAGCTCAGTCTGTGCACGCGTCTCATGTCTCCAGTTCATTGGACCTGATGTTCTGTCCACGCGATCTGAAATCATCCTTGGCATAGAAACCTCTTTCTAATTAATCTGCTCTTAGGGTTTTACTAAATTTGCAGGTGTTTCACTATCTTCAGTTTCTCAAGGTTTTCTTTCTATAAACATATTCTGTTCTCAAACCTTATAATTAGACACACAGCTAACAAGTATAAGCATCATATATTTTCACACAGTCTATAAGTATAAACAATACACGCTTGCCACTTCCATGGCAAGCAAGGCCTACAGAGTGCAGGAAAAAATTGTTCACAGAAATCTCTGTTCCGGCAACACTATCTCTACCTTTGGGGTTAGAAATAGGACAGCAGCGCTCTGCAGAAAACAGCCATGCTCATGTGTTCTGTGTCCCACTGCTGCTGCTGAGTTGGCCCCTTGGGATACCTTCTGTATTCCTGTGAAGTGCAACAGTGAAGCAATTTCTGGAAAATGGCTCTTTGGACAAGTGATCTCACCTGTCTTGCATCCATTTTCCCTGACTTGTTGCTGAGTGATCCCGTACCTGATGAAACACTGAGATTCCAGAGAAATACATGAATTAATTAATCCCAGGAGCAAAGAAAAGACACTAAACCAAAAAAGAGGAGGCAACTGTTAAAATACCAGCCTCAACTATCTCAACGGTTATGGATAGCTAGCAAAAAGTACTGCATAATGAGCTGGTATGTGCTTTGTCCTGTTTCTAGAAACCTCTTCTAAAATTTGGGTTATTTTAGAGATTTTCTCTTGACCAGATCACAGTTGCTAAAATTTTCAGCCAGGCTTTTGGAAGGACAGGTTGTACTGTTGCATGCTTTGAACAGCAAAGGAGAGTGTTCTTGTCCCTTTGATTTTCTTTTGTTTTCTGTGTCTCATTGGGAAGACCAAATTCTGCAACTGGGGATTTGTTAGGAGCTTTGCCTGGTGACAACATGTCATGAGTGGTGGTCACTCCAAAAGCAGGCTCTGCAAAAGCTGTGTGGGGCTGCTTGGGAGTGTCAGTGTAGTCCTGTGAGGAAGCTGCCTCCAAAGGCTTTGATACAGGGGGATACTCAGGTACCATAAATCCTCTCAGATGCCTCCAAGTGAAGTTTATTACTGAGGACAACTAAGGCATAAGTCTTAATACCAGTTGGCTTTTTCTCTGTGCTAGAAAGTAGTCAATCAAGTATTTTCTTTTGGAGGCCTTAAGCTATTCTCAGCATATCTAAACATTTCCCTTCCTTAACTGTGTAGGTGTATAAACAGGTGCTTGTTTGGTCTCTCCCATAATATCAAATTTATAAGATTCAGGAATCATCTTTTTTTATTATTCTTTTTTTTTTTAGTGTAGTGTCCTCTGTGCTGCTGGTATGTAATTTATATGACGTTGAACTGTAGAATCATACAATCATTAGGGTTGGAAAAGACCCCCAAGATCATTGAGTCCAACTGTTAGCCTAGTGCTGCTACATTCACCACTAAACCCAAGTGCCACATTTAGGCATTCTTTGAACACTCCAAGATGGTGACTCCACCACTTTTCCTGGGCAGCCTGTTCCAATACCTGACCACTCTTTCAGTGAAGAATTTTTCGTAATCTAAACCTCCTCTGGCACAATGGCACTTCAGGCTCTTTCCTCTTGTCCAATTGCTTGTTACCTGAGAGAAGAGACCAACCCTCACCTCGCTATGACCTCCTCTTAGGTATCTGTAGAGAGCCTCCTTTTCTCCAGGCTAAACACCTCCAGCTCCTTCAGCCGCTTCTCATCAGACTTGTGCTCCACCCCTTCTCCTTCCTTGCCTATCCCTTCTGAAGGGTTTATAGACATTCATTGCAGCACTCCAGTTGTGTGAGTCATCCCACCAACATGATGAGGTTCTCCCATTTGGAATCAGTACTTGCCCTTCTTATCTACTGAAAGAGACAAGTGGGCTTTTCTGTGAGTGGGCCTCAGAAATTAACCCACGCACAGAAATCAACGTACAACATCCATTCTGAATTCCAAATTAACCCCAAATGCCATGGTTGAATTCTGAAGGACTTGAGAGATTGTTGAGGCAAGAGTCCGCTACAAACCTTACTTCTGCTGCTGTTATGGGCAAACCAGAGTGAAATTCTCCCATCTGTGGTCACCAAATATGGCATCTGAACAAATGGGGGAACAAAAAAGCAGCTGGAGGAATGTGCTGCCACAGGATTTCTTATCAGCCAATAACTCCATATAGTTCTACAAAGTTTGTATAGGAAAAACAGGAAAATCCAGACAGAGTAAAGATTGGGAAAGAATTTGAGATTTCTTAGCTCAAAGTATGAACAAAGATTACAATAGAGCAGTAATAGAAACTATTACTGTGGGCAAGGAATGTGTGGAATGGTCTGGAAGAGGTCTGGAAACAGACCATGGGGCAAGGACGCAGCCTGCTGGACTGCACTGCTGTTACTGATCCTCAGTAACATTATCAAGAGAAGGAACAAGAGGTGGTTTTGGCTGTGGATGAGCTCAAACAAGCCTCCTAAAAGGACAGAATCCAGAGCAGGAGACACTGAAGGAAGCCTGAAAGGCCAGGAGAAAGTACTGGTTAGGAAACTACTGTGACAGAATTCTCTGGAGAGCACAAGGACATTGAAAGCAGCAGAGAAGTCAGAAAAGGGGCAGAGCCACCTCCCTTGAGATGGTACTTGAAAGGGTGACAAAAGCCAAGGAGAGGTAAATCGAAGCAGAGCAGATACTGCAGCCTGCTGAGAAAGGCAGCCTCTGGAAGTGCAGAGAGGCCTGCTAGGAGGACGGCTTTCTGTTCCTCAATATCATGGGCTTCTTCATCTGCTTACCCAATTGTCCCCTTCTTAGACAATATAGAGGAGAGTTCAGATGGAGGGGACTGTAGAGCCATCCTTCCATGCTGGAGGCATCCTTCCTGAAGGCAGGAGAATCCACACTACTGAGGGTAGAGCCAGTTTTGGAAGGGTCTGTCATGTAATGTTCTTAGTGGCTCAAGGAGTTGTCACTTGTTGGTGTTCCCAAGTCATCACAACCCTGTGTCTGCTACCTGCTGATTTTCCTAGTTGACAGTAAACAGAGCTGACTGAAGCCAGCAGAGCTGGACAGAGACTCAGTCTGTGGCTGTCCTCCAGTCTGCCATGCAGGGCCTGAGCCGAGCAAAGTTAGGGTGCTTCTACCGCTCTCCTGATTCACCTTTCACTGTACTTAAGCCAGTTTCTGAAAGTCCAATATTGAAAAGAGTGGAGGTTTTTAGAGTACAGCACTGTCAGTTTACTTTAGAAGTAAAGCATCTGGGAAGCATTTCTACTCACCTGACTGCTTGGGTGATTCTTCACCAGTGTGTCTGAAGGTGGCCAAAAGGTGTCTCTCCACAGTTTTCTCCATGCTGACTATCTTTCCTACCTGTGGAAGTGGTCAGTGATGGGCAGTCATGGGATAGAGGTATGTAATTCAAATCCTTTTGTGCTCATGAGTTTTCTGTGAACTTCCTCCAGATGCTGCAGGTCTGGTGGCTTATCTCCAGGATTTCAAGAGTCCATGCAGAATCACAGCATCTCGGAGTAGTTTGGGTTGGCAAGGACTTAAAGATCATCTAGTCTGACTGCTCTGCCATGGAACATCTTTCACTTGATCTGGTTGCCCTAAGCCTTGTCCAGACTGACTTGAAACACTTCCAATGATGGAGCACCCACAGTTTTTCTGGGCAACTTGTTCCATGGATCACTACTCCTCATTAAGGATCTGAATGATGGGTCAGAGTGCACACTCAGTGAGTTTGCAGATGATCAGAAACTGAGAGGAACAACTGATACACAAGAAGGTTGTGTATCATTCAGAGGTCACTGCCCAGGCTGGAGAAATGAGTCTCATGAAGTTAAACAAAGGGACATGCAAAGTCCTGCTCATGGGGAAGGTAAACCTCAGCCACCAGTACATGCTGGAGGTATGGCAGCTGGCCAGCCGTGGCCTCAAAACTTTTTGGCCTTTGGCCTTTATTGCCTTCAGGAATCACAGCTCCCTGAGGCCAGAAGGATTGCCTGGGGTGAGGAAGAGTTCCACTCAGAAAAGAGACTGGTTTGAGGAACACTTAAACTAATAGGACAGACACAAGTTCCTGGGAGCAGATGCAATGCCCCTGCAGTGCAGAAGAAGCTGGCTCGAGTCCTTCCAAGACCACTGCCCATCACATTTGTAAATACAGCCATGGTGATGCAGAGACGTTCTTGAGGACTGGTAAAAAGCCAGTGTTGCTGCCACCTTCAAGAAGGGCAAGCAGGAGAATGCAGGCCAGCCATCCTCACCTTGATCCTAGAGAAGGTGAGCAAGTAATCCTGGAAACCATTCCAGACACAAGGAGGATAAGACAGCCATCAGGAGTAGTAGTTTGGCTTTATGAAGTGGAGATAATGCTGAAACAATCTGGTACAGTACATGCAGAAGTCTGACTGACCAACTGGAAAAGGCCCTGAAGGCCTCCCGTTGAACACCAAGTTGGACATGAGGCATCAGTGCACCCTTGGGATACCCAAGGCCATGAGCCTCCTGGCTACATTAGCGGGAGTGTTGTCAGTAGTTGGATGGAGGTGATCCTTCCCCTCTCCTCCCCCCTGGCAAGGTCACCCCCAGAGTGCCGTGTCCAGGTCTGGGCTGCCCAACACAGGAGAGATGTGGACATACTGGAGCAAGTGCTGCAAAAGACTGCAAAGATGATGAAGGGACTGGAGAAACACTCCTGAAAGGCCTGGGGGTGGCTCTGCTTCTGGTAGGAACCTCCAGATTCCTGGGGCCTGGAAGGTCCTGCAGTCACAGAGAAGCTTTGAATGGAGAGATGTCCCCAGATGGGGAGGCTCCTTTGTGGGCTGGAGGGCGATGCTACCATGGATTTGGCAAGGTCTCTTGCAGGGGCTTTCTGTGGGAGGGTTGCCAGGACAACAGGAGGCGAGAGAAGGTTCAAGGCTTTTATTAGCAGCCCCCTGAAGTTGAGGGGGCCTCAAAACTGCAAAAGGGCTTTCTGGTAAAATCCCTTCCAAAACCAAAATGGTTGCTTGGCAGCCTAGGTGCCCAAAGGCAGGTGCTCTAGGAGCAGGAACCAAGAGACCCAGTGGACCTGGAGCAGCTCAGCAGCTGAGAGGTGCTGGTGGGGGAGGACACAAGGAGCAAGGTGGGGCCTGGGGGAAACCCATAATCTGGGAGACCCCTACACACTCCTACCCTAATGGCCCTGGCCCCTGGTGCCCCAGCTGCCCTCAATCTCCCCTAGCTCCTCTAATGCCCCCACAACTCCTGCAGTGCCCTCCAGCTCTCCCCAGACAACCTCCCAATGCCCTCTGGCCCCCTCCCCATGACCCTCAAAGCTCTCTGTGGTCTTAGCTCCCCCTTGATGCTTCCTAGGTGCCCCCCAAAAGCCCATTCCCCTGACCTCCATCTTTTGCTCTCCCTCTCCCAATGCCCTCAATGCTCCCCAATGCCTCTCCAATGCCTCCCGCCCCAGCTGCTCCCAGCCCCCTTACCACTTGCCCCTTGCCCTGCGGCAAGGACTACCTTTGAGGGAAGACAGGAGACGTCTGGGTCTGGTGCAGGACGTGCCACAGGTTGGTGGCATCACAATATATGTAGTCCCGGAGCAAGGTGCAGAGGATGACTTCAGCACTCCATGTGTTTTCCAGGAAGAGGTCACAGGGCTTCTCCTGCAGGATCGCAGGACAGGTATAAGCATAGGATTGGCAGAAGGTCTGGCTCAGCACTGCCTTGGTGGGCAGCTTTGGATGTGCAGAGGTCCCAAGAGACTCCCCACTGACATCCTGCAGGACCACCCTTCTGGAAAAATCTGGAGATGGAGACCTTCATGTTGTCCTCACTGTCCAGGAGAATGTTTTTCAGGTTTAAGTCCCTGCAGAGGAGAGGCAGCATGTGCTGTGGGCAGGCAGGGGCAGATGGCAGGTGTGGGGCAGGGAAGGTCAGGGGCCGAGGAAGGAGCTGTGGGTAGATGAGGGGCCAAGGGCTCCTCTAGGAGGAGGAGAGCTTGGACTGGGAGATGTGGAGCAAGCAGAAGCGTGGAGGGAGAGTAAGGGTGCAGTGCAACAGTCAGTGATGTGGAGATAAAGAGAGCCTTCTAGGAAGCCCTTCAGTACCTGGGCTGGGGAACACGATCCGCCAAGCTCCCGCTCCGGGATGTGCCCGGAAAGGGCCGGCTCCACGGGGAGGTAGAAGCTGGCTCCGCGCTTTAGTTCAGCGTAATGAGGCACTTGCGGCACAAGCCCCTCGGGACCCGTGGACGCAGGGGCTTGTGGGACAGCCCTGCCCTCCACTGGCTTCCCTTTGCCTTGCACCCCCTGCCCCTTTTTCCACCACTGTTTCCCTAACCCCTGGCAGCTCCCTACAAAGGGAGGCTACCATCCACCTGGAGCTTCCAATAGCTCTCTGCTGCTCTGAATCCCTGCCCATTGCCTCCCAACCATTTGAACCCAAAAAAACAAGGCTAGGGGGACCCCAGCTGGAGTCAGGCACCCCCAGACCTCTGTCTCCTCCCATCCTCCAGCAACCCTTGCCCTCCTCTGGCTGCTCCCTCTACTCCTGCTCAGGGTTTGGCCCCCTGAAATATCTGGGATGGCCTAGAAGAGCCCTTGGAGCAGCAGCAGAGCCAAAGTCCCCAGCTGAGCACTACCCAGGCAGCGAGAGAGGACAGCAGCTAAGCACTCTCACAGAAGCAGATGCAAGCCCTCAGTGCACAAGCCCTCACATTGCCCACTCTGGGCTGAGGATCCCACACCCTGGAACCATCACAGTCCCTTGCCTTGTCACTGACCTGCTGCCATGGAGATGGCAACTAGGAGTGAATTCCCAGTCTGGGTGTGGGGGGAGTGGTGCCAGCAGCCCCAGCTGGCAGGGGGGATACAGAGCTTACTTACTGCAGTTTTGCTGCAGGGGCTGGACCCTGCAGGTGTCCTGGGCTGAATCAGCAAAGGGCTTTCTGGTAAAATCCCTTCCAAGAGCTCTTGGGCAAGCTTGGAAAACTACAGTTTTGCTCTTTGCAATGCTCCCTGGTCTGGCAACCACATCCTTCACGATCAAGAGAAGGATGGAAAACTGAGACTGGCAGAGGGCAGGTCTCACTGCTCATGTGCTTGTGCAGGGGTCCTGCTGGAAAAGGCAGCTTCTGGGCAGCTGAGGCAGCAGAATGCTGGCAAGGTCAGGAAATTAGGCCCAAACACCAGCCACTTGCCACTGGGACAAAGTCGGAGGCCAAATGCCAGTTTGGTGAAGCTGAGCTCCTTCAGGACCAAGGAAAGCCAATCCAGAATTCCATGTGACAGCTGATGAGAGGGAATGGTGATAGCCATGAACTCTTCAAGCAAGTGGCCTTTACCTGCTCACACTGGCACACTTTCCTGCTCACAAGCACCCAGATAGTTGTGCTGGTGCTCTGGCCAGGGTCATTTGAGCATGACACAGGAAGGGAACAACAACAAGGACCTTGCTCTGCTCCTGGAGAACCTGTTGAGTGCCAATGGCTGTCAAGTCAATGAAGATGATAAGCATGCTAATAATAAAATGATGGACTGATACTTTCACAACAGTCTTAGGGAATTTTTTTCCCCACCTGCCATGTCAAGTTTGTTCACCTGATGACTGAAAAGACTGTGCTCCTGCTGAAGCACCACTGACATCACCCAGTCCCCTGCTTCTCTCCCCACTGATGTGCCACATTCCATGAGATCCTTACCACTGTCTTGGCTAAAGTGAACGGGAGCTCTTGCACCTCTTGCAACAGCAACAGCCACTACCTTAAGGACAATAAGGACTGACCTTAGACACTCTAGACATCATCACTGAGTTCAGGTCCATGAACTCAAGGACAGCTTGCTACCCGCTGGTTGCTCTTCCCCACCTTGATCACCTTGAGGGAAATGTGTGCAGGCTGCTAGAGGCCATCCTCCTACTGTAAGGATGCAGGACCACCCGCCAATGAGCTGTTCAAGCTGCCCCATGTGAGTAGGGAAGTGTCCTGGGACCCATGATGCAGGAACAGCCTTTTCCATTATCAGCAGGGGCAAAGCTCTGGCTGTGCTGGGCCTCACAGTGCTTACACACACACATTTCCACCCATCCTTGGAGCCACCCATCCATCCACCAGCTTCATTGACCCATTATATCCCCCAGTAGCCTCCCCAAAGCTGCGCCTCGGACTATTAACAAGCACCCACCCCGCAAAGGGGGGTGCAGCCCCTGGAGCCAGCTCAGGCTATAGGGCTTCCTCTTCCCCGCGCTCTGCGGGGACCACCTGCAGGGAGGATCTGGGAGCCCCGGGCGGCAGCTCGGCATCACCCCGCCGTGGCCGGGCGCCTCCAGTGTCCCGCGGGGATCTGCTACTGCTCGCACGCCCCTGAAGTCGCTCCCGCGACCGCTAGGGGAGGGGAGGGGAAGGGAGGGAAGGTGAGGGGAGGAGAGAGGGGAGGGGAGAGGGGAGGGGAGA